ATCTATCTATCTATCTATCTATCTATCTATCTATCTATCTATCTATCATCTGTCTGTCTGTCTGTCTGTCCGTCTGTCCGTCCATCCAACTTTCTATCTATCCACCTACTGACCTACCTATGTATCTATCTACCCACATACCTAACTACCTTTCTATAATCTCCCATTTCATTACTTTTAGGTAATATCCTTTACAGGCCCTTTTCTATTTCTGTCAATAAAATTGAGTTTTCTTGTAAGGCTATGTAATGTAATTCTATAGATTAAATTTTTAAAATGCAAGTCTTCCTACAGCAAAGTAAATTACAGAAAGAGTCGAAGGGAAAGTCCCCTATGAATGTTGAAGGAGAGAGCACCCTGCTCCATAAATCTACTGTAGAGATCTGATCTGATGAAATGTTCAAGCAGACTCAGGGAGGGCTTAGGTTTTACTCTCTGGTAAAGTATGGGGTCTCATCTACTCATAAATGTATCAATTAGTTCTGTCCACCAATATGATTTTGTCACTGAAAGAGTTGTTTGAAAGGGTTTTACAATTAGAAATTAATGTTACTCCTCATGAAGCTAATTTTCAGAGAGACCCATAATTCTGGAAGATTAGATCTTTCTTGATAATTTTTGGCCATGATATATTAAGCTACACTCAGGTCTCTAACCCATATAAATAAACACTTGAAAGAATCTAATTACATCTGTGGCAGTGTAATTCTCTCTCATGCAGGCAGGTAATAAAATGACTTCATATTTCCTATGCAAATTCTCTGATGTGAATTCATCCCAGTTATCAGGTTACTGGAAAAATATTAATAGAAACACAGCTATTCAACGTATTCTTTTTAATGTATAGATCATACAAAGAAAGTTCATTATAGACCAACACTAGGTAAAACATTAGTAAATGGGTAAGTCTCTATTCTTCTCAAACAAATCTGTAAGATGAATGCAGCTCTCATCAGAGATTCCAATGGACTAAGTGGGCAGGGGGAAAGAGTATTGAATTCATTTTAAAATCCGCCCCCAGCAGGTCATCAGGTCATCAGGCTCTGAGCTCTCCCTTCTTTTCTGTGTCTCTGTCAGGCATCAAAGGCGGAAGGAGTGGGGGGCTAAGGCAACATCTCCAGCTACTGCAAAATAGCTTAGGGAATGGTTTTCAGATTCTTTGTGTTGTTGTTTTGCTTTTTGAGACAGGGTTTCTCTCTCTATTCCTGCTGTCCTGGACATCAATCTGGAGACCAGGCTGGCCTTGAACTCATATAGATCCACTTACTTCTGCCACCTGAGTACTGGGATTAAAGGCATGTACCACATGCCAGGCTGGTTTCCAGATTCTTATTTCACATTTATACAAAGAGGCAAATTCCATGGGAACTAAAGATATAAACATTAAACATGATCAGGTCCCACCAGACACCGTAGGAACACACCTCTAATCCCAGCACTTGGAAGGCAGAGGCAAGAGATTCTCTGAGTTTTTGAGGCCAGCTTGGTCAACAAAGTGAGTTCCAGGCCAGCTAGGACTTTTATACAGAGAAACCTGGTCTTGAGAATTTTTTTTTAAAAATAAGGTCAGGTTCTTTACAAATACTCTAAGATCAAACATGGAACATTTTTTTTAAATCTTCTGGTGGAAATGGCTACAGCTATAATATGAAACCTAGGACCCAATGTGGGGGGCATGGGCTAACAATAGATTTAAGGAATAAAAGTTCAGACTTCTAGAAGACAAATAATTCTTTTAACAAACTCACCAGAAAACCAAGAACTTGGACAAAAATCCCAGTGATACCTGTGCTCTAGACTTAACACCACGTGCCAGTGGAGGGGACCCCATCACTGTGCAGCAATGGGAGGAAGAGGTGCCGTGCAGAAGCACCGGGTTCCAGGGAGAAGGGCAACCTGTGAGCACCGGCGAGTGAGTTTTCTGCTCCACTGAAATGAGAGCAGTGAATACTGATAGTGTCCTCACACAGGGTTTCTTAAGGCGGCTCAACTTAGGGTGAACACTATCAACATACTTTGCCTACATGCATAAAAAGGTCATAAAGGAACCTGTTGTGATGTAAATTAATGCACAGTAGCAAAAGATTTTCAATCAGCATTATTATATTAAAACTAAGAGTATGCAAAGACATCAAATGTGTTTGCTGACTAGATATGATCTTTTACCCTACAAAGTAAGGAATTGAAATTATAGATTATTAAATTTACGAAAATAATGTCATTCCAAGCTATGTTAATATACACTTTGATATGTTCTTGAAAGTAAAGACCAGTCTGTAAGAAAAATTTACAAGCAAAATAAAAATTGTAAAAATATGATACTTTGAAAAAATTAAATTGTCATTTTAGAAGACATTCATTTTGTCTTACTAAAGGTATAGCAAGTACTATCATTTAGCATAAAATAAATTCATTTGTTATGTGAAGATAAGAAAATTCCATTTGTGTTTACTTATTTTTTGACCATCTTTTCCTGACGTAGAGTTGTTCTCAGCATATGTGGTATCTACAAAGCAAAGGCAGTGGTCAGAGAACTGTAAACTCTGATAAAAGTCACAAGCATTACTGCAGTCTGCATCATGCTTGGAAAGCCTGGTGTGTGTGTGTGTGTGTGTGTGTGTGTGTGTGTGTGAGAGAGAGAGAGAGAGAGAGAGAGAGAGAGAGAGAGACAGAGAGAGAGACAGAGACAGAGACAGAGACAGACAGACAGAGACAGAGACAGACAGAGAGAGAGACAGAGAGAGGAAGTCAGAGAGACAGAGAGAGACAGAGAGACTGTGTACATGCTCAAATGTGTGCGTGTAGAGACCTGAGGCCTGTATCTGGTGCCTTCCTCCAATGCTTTTATCATTTATTTTCTGTGTCAAGGTCTTAGCTGACTACCTCTTTGGATTCTGATCATGGAAACACAGCTTTCTTCCTCCTATTCTACACAATAGTCACTGATGGTGAAGCACATGGGTTGCTAGATCTCAGTATTCCCTTTTGTAAAACTCTTACAATTTATACATTACTTTCCTCTAGTAACAGGACTAGCAAGAGTTAGCTGGCCTTAATTTCAAGGCTGTTATGATCTTGCTCAATATATATGGAGATAACATAATATAACCTAACTAGGTGGTAAAGGACATCTATTAAAACCTATGCTAAATTTGACAAAGGTTGGTCAGAGATTTTTATTTGTGTCTATAATTACAATGCTAGGCTAGTTGTATTTTGAGTCTTTCACAATTACAAATGACCCTAGGAATATAGGATCTTTGTGTTACTAGGTCTCTCAGTCAATGTTCTATTGTTGTGAAGAGACACCATGACCATGGCAACTTTTACAATGAAAAACATTTAATTGGAGCTGGCTTACAGTTTCAGAGGTTTAGTCTATTATCATCATGGACTAATGGCAGCATGCAGGAAGATAGGGTGCTGGAGAATTAGCTGAGAGTTCCTCATTTAGATCAACAGGCAACAGAAAGAGATCCTGAGCCTTGCTTGAGTATGTGAAACACCAAAGTTCACCCCCAGTGACATACTTCCTCCAACAAGGCCACACCTCCTAATCCGTGTCAAGCAGGCAATAACCAAACATTCAAATATATGAACATATGGGGGCTATTCCTATTCAAATCACCACAGTAGGTATGTCAGTGGGTGTAAAAAATACCATTACTTTGCTATTTATTTCTCCCACATTAGCAATATACAAGCATGTAAATTTAGCTGATAGGATTCAGCCAGTTAAACATGAGTTCATGGTCACTTCCTGCTTCCTACACTTTCTAAAATTAAGAAGGAGCTCCCACGATAGCTGGACACACAGCAGCCATAACTCTGAGAATGACATGTGTCTAGTCACAGTGGCCTTCAGTCATCAGATTGCTGACATCCCGAGGGCCAAGGCTGGGCGTCCTGATCTTCTACACCTGATCCACATCTTAGGTATTCCTGAGTTTCCTCCCCAGCACTCAGTTCAGAAGAGGAGCTACTGTATATTCCTGCAGGAAGAAGGAAAAGTCCTCAACAGTTCTGGTCTGTTTGCCACTAAGCATAAGGATCTGAGTTCAGATCCCCAGTACTGTGTAAAAACCTGGGTGCAGCAGTGAGGGTCTATGATCCCAGAGCTGAGGAGATAGAGACAGGAAGGTCCCTGAAGCCCACTCACCAGCTACCCTCACTGTATCAGTGAGCTCCAGGTTCAAAGTGATACCTTTGTCTTAAAATGAGGCAGAGAGATAGACGATGATATTTAACACCAACTCCTGGTATCTACACATATCAGAGGAAGACACACATGCAAACAGCATCCTGTATGAGTGTGTGGGAAAGCTGAATCCTGCCAAACTGAAGGATAGCTGGGGAGGGACAGTCCTGCCAGCCTGTGAGGGAGAGGACAGGTAGGATTGGGTAATCCTGCAGCCCGTGTGAGAAGGTAGGACAGACCTGCGGTTTATTTGGGAGGCATAGAGACAATGCTGTCAGCAGACCAACCTTGCCTTTATCTGAGCTGTTGGTCAAACTTGCTTCAGAAACTGTCCCCAATGCTGGGGCTGGGGCCAACTTTGCCCTGGTGGCCATTCTCTTCTGTGATCATTTCTTAGACCTCATGCCCTTTCTGAGGTTATTTGTGCACCGTCTGCTTCCATTTCTGTTTGCTGTGGAGTCTTGGGAATGGTGGGTGACAAAGCCAGTCTGTAAGGTCTTAAGACCCTTGATGATCATGTGAAATGAAGTGACCTCTCCTCCCATGATAAACTTCGCCCTCTTTACTTGAGTGAAAACTGTAATCCTAGGGTTCATACAGTAGGACAGGAGGCCGAAACAGCATCTGTTGAAGACTGTGGTCCAGCCAGCCTGGCATACATGTCAATGAACAGGATGTTAGGTCTCAAACAAAGTGGAAGGTGAGGATAGGATGAGCACCTGAGATTGTCTTCTCTCTCTCTCTCTCTCTCTCTCTCTCTCTCTCTCTCTCTCTCTCTCCCCCCCCCCACGCACACACCCCTGTTTCTGTCATGTTAACAATGAATGAGTATATCTACTAATAAGATCCATTGATTGACAAAGCTTAATCCCCAAAACTGTATGCAATGATTTTCCTGCATTTGCCAAAAGAATCAAGAAGTAAAATTCAATGCACAGAACGGGTCTCAGGGATCCCACAGAACAGACTCAGAGCAAAACCCATTAAAAATCGATAGTTTGAAATCAGATGCCCACAGCCTATCTTGCTCCCTGGACTTCCTTACTTGACTGCCAGGTGACTGAGGTGGATTCCTCTGAGCCTCTGGGTCCATCATCAGAATCATCGCTGGTAAGGTCTGCGCGAAGGAAAGAAAGAAAAGTCCCCTTAAGCATCTTAGTGTAGTTGAACTTTCTTTGGTCCTCCAGCTCCCAAATAATGACACAGAGACTTCTTATTAATTATACAAGCTTGGCCTTAGCTTCGGCTGGTTCCCAACTAGCTCTTAAAACTTAAACTAACCTGTTTATATAAATCTATGCTCTACCACATGGCTCATTGCCTCTCCCCAGTACAGTACATTTTACTTCCGTTGTATCTGGCTGGCAAATCCCCACCTCTCAGATTCTTCCCTGAGTGCCCATCTGAAGTCCTGCTTATCCTCTCCTGCATAGCTCTTGACCATTTAGATCTTATTAAACCAATCAAAAGGTGCCTTAGGCAGGTGAAGTAAAAGAGAGACACATCTTCACCCAGTGTGATCAAATACTCCACATCATTTTAGGGGTGACAGCAGGCACACACAGCAGGGAACACCAGAGTCTGAACATTGATTAGCAAGACTCAAGCAGTCAACTCAATGCTGTACACTGTTCCTTGCAAGGCTATTAGTTCAAGGCTGAACCAACAACTGACCAAGCTGTCATAGAGGTGGTCCCTCCTAGCAACTGACAAGCATCTTGTCTGTACCCTCATTCTGGTCCTCACTTCCCAACACCCTCACCTACCTCTTTTTCACTCCTATTTTGCCCCTTAACTTTCTTCTTGGCTCCGTTCATCATCCTGTTCTTCATCTGCGCCCAGCGATGGACCTCTTGGTCCTTGGTAGGCTTCCCCGCCCACCTCTTCTCACACATGTTTTGGTTCCCTGATATTTTTTTCTGTCTTCTTAACTCCTACCGACCCTTCCCCCACCACATACACCTGCCTGCTCTTAATTTAGAAATGAAAGCCTGGCCTCAGCATTTATTAGCCTCCATTTCTCGTTTCTGCCTTTAATTTTCCCCACCTCCTTCTGCTAAGGTGAAGGTTGGCGTTGGTGGGCCTCTTTCCCTTCCTGCCTCCACCTGGCTACCTGCACTGCCCCCAAAGGACCCTGATGACTTGTCTAAGCCTCTTGCCTGGGAAGCTGTAGCAATTCTGTCAGTCCTCCTTACCTATTACCCCAGAGGCCTGATTGTGGTCGGTCCTTGCATGAGTCTGATGTTCATCATCCAAAAAAAATGAAGAATTTTCTTGCTTTATATTTTCCGTAGGCACAGAACAGGGGCTAGTGTGGATCCCATGGCTGGGAAGCTCTGCTCCTGGTCCAAATTACAATGAAGAAGTTATTTTCAGGGACTGAGGAGTCAGTTCAGACTGTAAATGCTGTGTAAGCATGAGGACTTGAGCTTGAAATCCAGGATTCACATAAAAGCAACACCTAAGCTGACACCATTTGCAATCCCAGCACTCTGGATATAGAGACAGGTGGGTCTCAGATATCACTGGCCAGACAGGCAGTCTAGACAAGTCAGCAAGGTCCAGGCAAAAAATAAAAAGTGAATGATAACTGCAAAGTACAACACAACCAGAGGTTGACCTCTGGCCTCAGCACACACATGCACATGCAGAGCAGCACACATGTATGCACAGAAACACGCACATATACACACAAAGAATTTTCATTTAACTCTCTAGAAGATCATTTTGAATACCGTGAGTAACCCTTTCCCCGAGATCTCCCTCCCACTCTGTTCTTCCCTTTCCTTCTACCCAATGAATCCTTGGAGAGGTAGTTGGTTTTGATATTGTAATAATAAAAATTAAGCAGGCAAGACCATACACACCTGCCAACGTGGCATTTTGAATGTTAAGACAGGAGGAATGTTAAGTTCAAGGGCAACCTGGGCTACATAGCAAGACCCTCTTTCAAAAAAATAAAGAAAAAAATTAAAATTTTAACTGCAGATTAACATTCATATATAAAAGTGGTGTTTAAATTGTTGCAAAGAGAAACTATCACTTAGATTAAAAAAAGCAGATGACCAACACCCCAGAGGCCTCTGGGTCACACATTCCACTGTACTGAACATCATTTTTTTTTTTTGAGACAGGGTTTCTCTGTAGCTTTGGAGTCCATCCTGGAACTAGCTCTTGTAGACCAGGCTGGCCTTGAACTCACAGAGATCTGCCATCACTGCCTGGCCCAAATGTCATTCCTAAAGCCAACTATCATCTCCAGTTTCAAGATCTTGTTTATTTTACTACTTATGTAACCAGCATAAAATAAATCATAACCATGTTATCTTTTTTTCCCAAAGAAGTCAAATACTCCCAGATTTATATATGAATATATGTGTGTATATATAAGTAATACATGTGTATTAATATGTTTGTGACAGTCTTTTGTATTATTATTTTTGTTGTTATAGAAATATACTGACTAATATGGGAAGTAATGGCACAAAAATTTAATTCCAGCGCTTGGGAGGCAAAGGCAGGTTGTTCTCTGAGTTCAAGGTCAGCCTAGCCTATAGAGAGAGTTCCAGGACAGCCATGACTACACAGAGAAACCCTGTCTCAAAAAAACAGAAAAAAGAAAAAAAGAAATATGCTGATTTGTTCTGTTTTAATTATTTGGCTTTTTAAGATAAACACTGCTTGGAGCATTCATTCTTCTTTTGGATTTTGAGTCATTTGCTTTCAGACAGGGTTGCATTGTAGCCAAGGCTTGCCTCAAACTACTTAGCCAAGGATGACCTAGAACTCCTGATCTGTTATTCCTCTTTCTCCTCCTGAGTGCATGTATTACACCCAGCCTTTCCTGTGCCTTCTGATTAACACGCATTTCTCCTCTCCTCTGCTGAGGAATGTCATTGTTGAACTCTGGGATATGTGTTTTCAAACTTCAGAGATTACAACCAACTGTTTCCCCAAATTGCACGGTTTCCAGAACCAGCAGAAGCCACAGAGACAGGGCATAGCAAAGGCAGGAGCCTACAGATTGTAGGTGTGGTGGGATGTGGTGCTAGGGTAAGAGACCAGTGATGGGGACAGGAGCATGGGTGCCAACCTTCATTGTCACTCTGACAGTGCGGAGTGCTGAGGGCTGCAGAAGGCACTGGGCTCTAAAAGCCACATGAACTGGTTTGCCCCTATTTTATTTTTGTGTTATTTAGGTGAGTGTTTTTCTTGTATGGTAGTTTGTATATGCAGTTTCTGAAGAGGTTGGTTGGGTACCAGCTGTTAAAATGGTGCACTTTCTCATGTTGTTCTGGTCAAAACTCCAGAACTTAAACAACAACAACAACAACAACAACAACAAAAACTCTATCGACTGCTAAAAAATCATTTACGACTATCCTACACAATAATCTGAAAACTTAGCCATCACTTTACTTTTGTAGGGTCCCATAAAGAAAATACCACCCCCATAACAGTGAAAAGTAATTCTAAAAAACGACGCCCCCTCTCCCAAAAAAGTTTTTCCTCAGGGTTGAAAACACTGTTTAGGGGTTGCTGATTATTACTTGTATCAGGTAGAGGGTTGGGGTGGAAACTATGTTTTTTAAAAAAAGGGATAATAATAGTGGGTAATAGAGTGAATTACCCACTATTAATAATTGTGAGCTATTATTTATGGATAATTTGCATTGGTATAGTTTTTTGTATATTGATACAAGTTCAAATTATATTTGTTATTTCTGTTTATAATATTTGTACACCTATGCAAAGTTATTTTGTCAGATTGTATATACACAGTTTCTATCTCTGTTTAGGATATTTTGTATATTGATACTTTTAAGATATAGTTTCGTATTGCACTATATATTATTCTTACCTTTAAGCAAGATACTTATACATTGTTTACATTTTGAGGTCATTGTCCTCATTTGCTGCACATTTGTTTGTAGATTACTTAATATTCTGACATGAAGTCTTAGTTTTTAAATTATACAGGTATTAAATATTATAGGTCAATAGTTGTTTATGTTTGTGATACATACAGTCAGATTAATTAGGTTCTTTAAATACACAGAGACTGTATTCTGCCTACGTAGGTAATCTTCAACCACTTCAAAGAGCTGTAGAATATGGCATTTAAATAGCTTAGGATTCTGTTGACATGAGACATGATTGATCCTGACAGCACCAATCTATTCTCGAGAAAATGTTGAGCACCAAAGACACTCCACTAGGAGTTTGTTTTCTTCTTGTCACAATTGGCCTTTGGTCAAGAAACTGCCAATGCCTCAGCCACTAACAAAGTGCATGGTATCCCAAAATGGATAAACAGGAAACAAAAACAAGAAAAAGACCGTCAAATCTTGCCAAGACAGGATAAGAAGGCTCTAAAAAATTTCCTGCCTCTAAAAATGGTCTGTCAGTTACACTAAGCCTTATCCAAAGTTGGTTGCTTCAACATTGCAAATGAGACTTTGGGTGATTGCTCAGGTGGCTAATTGTCTTCATCATATTCTGCTCGCTTTGGAAGCTGTTTGATTGCACTTCCTGCCTACTCGAGAAATATTATCTCCCTTCTCAGGCCTTTGATAGGGTTGAAAATTAGATACTCGTAGTTACCTTCCTCTTATGATTTAGCCAAGGTTATTTCCGATGCAAGATTTAGAATCCTTGAAATAGAATGTTTATTAAAACATTTGTCATGTATTCTTTGCTTAATATTGTTTATGTTGTTTGTAATTTTATACTTGATATCTTTCCTATTATATATAGTTTTGTATTGGGTTTGGATTGCTTTTATTTAGACGAAAGGGGGAGATGGTGGGGAAAACCTTGTTCACTTATCTTTAAGAGGTGGAGCCCAGTTAAGGCATGGTTTTCTGGGATGGGGGTTGGGGTGTGCTCTTTCTGTACCCTTTTCCAAGGTGCCCATGCTTAAGGGCCAGGAATTCTATAATAAACGTTGTGAAAGTTGTAATTAAATCAATGCCAAATAAGGCGAGAGAAGCCTTAGAGCTAAGGCTTCTAAGACACTAGCAGGGGGGAGGCCGGGGGGGGGCATCTGCTACATTATTGAACAGAAGATGCCTAAACAACCTGCACATAGAGACCTCCTTTGGGTCTTTGGAAGGGTTGGGGTGGAAAGCGTGAAAGGAAACAGAAAAAAATGTTTACTATTCTAGAAAAGCAGAGAATAAATGTAAAAATGGAGGAAACTGGTTTGAAAGTGATCCAGTAATTATCCCCCAACCCAGCCCTCCCCCTCATCAGACTGAACATCTATCTGTATGCATGAAAATACGTTCCTAATGCCAAGTGAGTGGTGACCCCCAGCACCTAGATGAGGCAAGAAAATAAGAAAAGATACATTGAGGTTGGCAGAGGGCAACTTTAAACAATCTCTTACCCCAAGCAATACAGCATGGAGAGAGATACCTTCCAGCTAAGGGCAGCAAAGAAAAACCAAGAACCAAGTTTGACTTTGGACCTCAATGCTGGTGCTGCCTCAGTGAACTTAATACTAAGCAGGCCCCTATGAGGTCCAAGTCAGTACCTGTGACATGAGTCTCCAAGCCTGCCTTGCCATATAGCCGGCTTACCTCAAAATCTAGGCCTATTTCCTTTGTAAAGGAATAGGGAAAGAAGAACTTTAAAGATATAACAGATATAACAGAAAGTTTTCCAAATGTATAGAAAGTTGTAAATGTCCAGGTAGAAGACAGAAGGTATCCAGTTTGACTTAAGAAAAGTCACAACAAATGAGATTAAACTCATAATTAAAATCACATGTTTAAGAAAAAGGGCCCAGATAAGATGTCTTGCTAAACTAAAAGTCAAAATTTATATTGCAATTATAACTAAACACCATATGCAGGAACTCCGTGAACATCCATATTCCATAGTTTAAAAACTTTCCCTTTCTTTACAAAAGGATGCCCAACCTCAATGTTTCTATTTAATAGGACTATGGATAACCACGGGACCACAAGGGTGCCCAGCACCATGGTCAGGGAACAAAAAACTCCAATGAGATGTCACCTCACACCGGTTAGAATGGCCATCACCAAAAAGACAAGCGAGAGGAAGTGTTGATGTTGTCGTGGAGAAATGGAGACCCTGTATGTGTGAGTGGGGTGTATGTGCCTACAGCCATTAGGATAAAACAGTACGGAGTTTCCTCAAAAACAACTGAAAATAGACCCATCATGTGATTAGACAGTCCTCTCTACTACATACAGAACTCGGTGGAATTAAAATCAGTCTGTTAATGAGACACCCACACCTGTTACAGCTGGACAAGGTCCACATATGGAGTCAGTGTAAACAGCTGCCAGCATCTGGAGAGAATGGGAGGGACTCCCAGACAGTCTTAAAATGAAGGAGACCGCATCAGCGGAGACAACATGGATGAGCAAGAGCACAGCATGAAGCAAGCCAGGCCCAGAAAAGCGAAAGCTACAGGATTTCACATTAGATGACACGGAAAAGGGTCCGACGCAGAGGGCGTAAAGTGGGAGTGAGGAGGGGGGCTGAGGCCATAGTGGACATAAAATTTCAGTCAGGAAGAATAAGTTCAAGGTGTCCATTATACAACATGATAAGACTAACAATATATTGAGTTCTCAAGAAATTGCTGAGGTCATACATTTTAAATATTCCTCCCATGAAAATGTATATGAGGTAATAGACATACCTTGATGCAGCCACTTCACAGTGCATATGTAAAACAGCATGCTGCCTCTGAGATGAAGTGCTTGTGTGTGGGTGCATGGGTTGCATGTGTGTGTATTTTATGTATGTGTGTGTATATGGTACTGGGATTGGACCAAGGACCTTACACATGCTAGACGAGCATTCCAGCACTGATCTACACTCCCAACCCAAAAACCCAACACTTTCTTCAATAGTCAATTTCGAAAACGGTTAAGATTTTTTAAACAAAACAAAGCTCTAACAAACATATAGACCATTGACAAACGAAGCCAGGAAGGTAAACAATAGTTACTTTTGTTGCTGCTGGGCAATGGGATGCGAGGCTCCAGGCCTGTATCTCTGTCACTCAGTTGGACTTCTAGTTCACAGGACTCTGAAGATGGAAAGGCCACAGGTGAGATCCCATAGAGCCTTGTCTTTCCCAGTTTCCACCTTCATCCCTCACCCTGATCTCATCTCTCGTCCCTACTTCTAGCCCCATCTGCACATGTGGCCACCCCACCCTGGATGGTATTTGTGCTTCTTGACTCCCTAGCCGACCTCTCTGACTCTTGTTTAACTTTTCCAACTCTTTCCCTTTGGGGTTTCTTTTTCCAACAACCCCCTCCAGGTCTCGACAGTGCATCAAGTTTTCTCTTTGCCTTTTCATGCCTAAGAAGTTTTCTTCTTGTATCAGATACCAGCACCTTCTTCTGCTCCCTCCCAGAGCTTGGCCCTTCAAGCCCATATCAGTCCATCTTACCCGCTGGCTCAGAACCTGGGCCTTTTAGTAAGGTTGCTTGGGGCTTTTGCAGTCCATCAATGTCGCCACCGGTGGTATCTTCTTTCGTGTCTACTATTTCATAGAGGTCTTCTGAGAGTCCATTTTCATGTAAACTCACAACTGAAACAGATTTTGTTTTGTAACTATTTTATTTGCCCATTACATCAGGATCCAATAGGAAAAGAGAGGTCTCTCTAAGCCTTGAAGACTGAGAGACAGAGAGACAGAGAGGATTGAGAATCAGGTAGAGGGACTGAAGGAGCCTAGCAGGTAATGACAGGGTGATTAGGTACTCAGAATCTGGAGCAGGGTTGGGCTGCAGGAGGGATGTGGAGCCATGGAGGGTGGTGCTGCTGCATCTGCTGCCAAACAGAGCCAAGATAGGGATGGAGGAAGCCTGGGCTTTGCTGTCTCTGTTCTCTAAACGCTTTTGCAAATGTCTCTCTTGTCAGAAATTCTGCAGGAAGCTGGCTAGAAAGGGAACTTGTCAAGAAAGAAAGCAGGAACCTGAGGCCAGAGGTAAGGGTCAGGGGCAAGCATGGTCTGGATAGGGAAAGAGTCCCAGAGCAAACAAATTCAGGACTAATATCCTCTCTTCCCTTACAGAAAACCTCCCTTGCCCATGGTGAATTCTGTCTGTCCTGCCCACTCTACTCCACCAACCTCAAGGGTATGTGAATGAATAATACAATATGCAATGCAGTTTCATGGTTTTCATTTAATTATTTCTCCACAAAGTTAAATTAGAGAAAATAATCGAAAAGTTAATTATAGAAGCCTTTACATGCAATGTGGACCTGTGTGCACACTTTATGTCACAATCCATAGTGGTTAGACCCCATGCTTTTTACAGCCATGGGCGTGAGTACAGTCCTAGCCCCATTGGTGTCCGTCACAGCCAGTGTCTCTGCTGGGTCAGACTATTGGACACATACATTGGTGTCTAATTGTTCACCCTGTGGTCCGTCTGGGTGGTGGGTTGATAATTCTGTGTCTTCATTCATCCCTGTCACTGGCATCATCAGGATGCCTTTACCAGGGAGGGTTGCTCCAGACCACACAGACTCACCAAGAATTCACCTGTTTGTCTTGCATCCCTCCTCCCCCTGCATCTGGTCCCTCTACTCATCCCTAACCACAATCCCACCCTCTCATTGCTTCTTATTCCCACACTGTGCACCTTCAGAAGAACAATAAACAATACAGACTCATATATTGCTACAGTCTCAAATGTTAAACATTTTGAATGAAAGATTTTACGATATATAACAATTATTTCAGAGGTAACCGTGGAAAGATTTTTTTTGCTGAGTTTGTGTGTGTGTGTGTGTGTGTGTGTGTGTGTGTGTGTGGTGGAAAGTTTGGTGGCTGGAGGGATGTCACAGTGGTCAAGGGCACTTGCTGCTCATGTGAAGGACCTGGGTATGGTTATCAGAACCCACATGATGGCTTACAACTGTTTGTAACTCCAGTTTCAGGGGATCTGACACCTACTTCTGGCTGCCTCTGAGGGCACCAGGGACACACATGGCAGATTATATATATATATATATAGAGAGAGAGAGAGAGAGAGAGAGAGAGAGAGAGAGAACACCCACAGAGACAAAACAAAAATAAGCAAATCTTTGAAAGCATTTTAAAATAAAGTGTTAATTTTAAGAAATCTCTTTTTAAATGACATATCCCACTTAAAATCCACACAGTAACCCTTCAAAGTGCCAGAGACGTGTTTGCAAAGATGAGTCATGGAATAAAGAAATAAATACTATTGCATACATACCATTCTGAATCTGGGGGATGGAGAATTGATGATTCTTAGTTTGGTTTCCCTGGATGAGGATGGTATTTCTTCCATTGTTACTTCTACAGTCTGAGGAATAATGGATTTCATAGTGAGTATCCATGTTAGATATCCTTAGAGAAGAAATCCCATTTATGCAGTGTGAGAAGCTTAGATTCTGGAAGCAGGTACAACTGACACTGATGACTGAATCGGTCAAAAACAAAACAAAACAAAACAAAAAATGCGTCCAACAGAGATGAAGCACCAAACACAAGTATTGACGCTCTTCATGACATCATTTGACATCCATCTGGAGCATGGACCACTGTCACATCCCTTTTATAGGAGATGACACCAGGGCCCAGAGAGGATAGATAACCTGTCTGGGATCACAGAGGCAGAATTTGAACCCAGATATTCCTAATCTGCCAGGACCTTAACACATAATTGAATCTTAACACTTAGTTGGGTAAAAGATTAGAACCCATGAAATGAACTTTTTACCTTTTGAAAACGTAATAATACATTATCATTTTAAAGTCATTCAGAAGATAATCACAAGAATATATGTGTTAATATATTAGAAAAGGATATAATATTTTTACTCATATTCATTATTATAGTGATAGTTGTTTATAATTGTAATTTAATTATAAGTTCTGTTTATAAGCATGATATTATAATATTATAATCAATGCCTTGAATTTAAAATATTCTAAATAAGCAATAGTTTAAATATCTGTTATATTAAGGGAGGACAATGGTTTAATTAAAATATCAAAGGGAGCCAGGTCATGGTACTGCAGACCTTTAATCCCAGCAATCAGGAGGTAGAGGTAGGTGGAACTGAGTTCAAAGCCAGCCTTGTCTACAGAACAAATTCCAGGACAGCCAAGGGCTACAGGGAGAAACCCTCTCTTGGAAAATCAAATCAAATCAATCAATCAATCAATCAATCAAACAATCATTACATCAATACATCAAAGCTTTCCTCCCTAGTGGTCTATCTTCCCTGGAGAGGGGCACTCAAGCTGTTGTTACCCTGGTAACAAGTGGAGGGATCATTTGGGAGGCCCAGTTGTGTCATGATCATATGAGCTGAACCCAAAGGGGAAAATTAATTTTTTCCCCAATGTTCATGTTCATCATCGCTCTCTAACTCCCATGGAACAGAGGATCAGAGCATGTAGGCCATGTCTAGTCAGTCAAGAGAGCCACAGGCAGGCAGCTGTGAATTCAGGAATATGGGCAAGATATATAGGAGACGAAGCTTTCCTAGTCAACCCTGAGGACCCACACTCTGATATTCAAACCCTGAACTTGGAAAAGCTACAGATGCAGAAAATGTCGTGGACATCAGAAACATGAGGAAAGAACACCCCATGTGTGAGCTGTGTGGGCTGATTTTGTTTTGTCAGCGAAAACAAGATAGGATCATGTAGGAAGAGGAACTCAAAATTGAGACAAATTTCCCCACTGGATTGGCCTGTAGACAAATCTGCAGGGACATTTTCTTGACTGATAATTACTGGAAGGTGTCACCCTCTGTATGGGTGGTCCTCAGATATAAGAACGCAAGCTGAACAAGCCATGGGAGAAAGCCAGTAAGCAGCGTTCCTCCATGACCTTTGCTCAGTCCCTGCCTCAAGTTCCTATCCTGATGTCCCCTCATGGTGGACTATAAATATAGCTAAACTAAACCTTTTCCTCCCCACATTACTTTAGGTCATGGGGTTTCATCACAGCAACAGAAAGCAAACGAGTTCACATGGGAGGAGACAGCAATGTTAACAGAGTCAATGAGAACAGACCTTCAGATGAGGAGGGACCTGAGGGTGACCAGGTCAGGCTTTCTTGAGAGCAGCTGTCACCAGGTCCTAAGGAACAAAAATCAGATATTTGTTTCAGTAGTTGAAGCAGCAATCCAGAGCCCATCTGGAGCTGACAAGCTCACCATGATTCTTGAGGTCAGACACGGGTCATAATCATAGGTTGTAAGGGTCATCTCTGACTGAGAATGCACTGCCTGGGTCATCCTAGCACCTGATGGTGACATGCCTTCATATCCATGTTTATAGCATGCCTGCACGTGTCCCCAGAGCTTCCCAGCCCAGTGACCTTACCTGAGTTTCTAGCAGTCTCCCACATATATCTGATGGCTTGTCCCTGCTGGTCTTCTCATGAGGACTCAGGAACAGCCTGTCTCCATTCCTTCCCATTCCTGCTACTCCTTCCTGTATTTTCTCTATTTCTCCTACTTCTGTTCCATGTTTTCTATCATATTAGCAGTACATGATCAAGAACAGACTCTGCCTCCCAAGTGCCTGGATTCTCGCTTTTCATTTGACCCTGTGAACACTCCACACACAGTCTCTCTCAAGACTAGCTTCCTCACCTATAAACTGGGCATCTGAAACCAATACTTTATGCCAGCTGAGGTGGAGGGAAACATGTGTTTGATGCTAACCAAAGCAAGAAATTAGCAACATGGATCCTTCTGCCATTGTCCGTTATTCTTTCTGCTCTCATTCATTTCTTTACCTCTTCCTTTTTCTGTCTCAATGAATCTGGTAATCTCCCCACACCTCTACCACTTTCTTGCTGTGTGTATTCCTCTGTCTGTCTTTCTTCTGCAATATTGTTGATCTCAAACAACATTTCTCCTGTTTGAATCCATCTATTCTAATATCAAGTGTGAGACTGTGACATACTAAGAAATGGTAGTTTTGGTCTTCATCTTCTGTTCCTGTTCAAATCCTAGATGAGTTCCCAAGTGATTAAGGTGAAAAGAGAGTCAGTCTACCCTTGAACATAGCCAGCCTTCCTCAGTATCATCACAGTGCACATTAAAGAGGTAAAGTTTGGAAAGCCCTTAGGATGGAGGATTGTCTGCTAGGGGAACATAACATGACGACAGCATGGGAACCCTGACCTCCAAGGTGAGACCTAGAAGTTAACTTGATCACATGGCTACTGACTTTATTCACCATGCCTGTATGATGGAACTTTTGTTAAAGATCCTAAGAGACTCTGTTCAGAGAGATTTTGGGTTGACAAACTCCATAGTGCTGGAAAGGTGGTGTGCCCAGGGATGACAAGTGAGTGTTGTGTTCTCTCCCCATTATTCCTTGGGGTGTCCCTCTCCCATGTGGTCATTGTTCATGTGCATATGTGTGTGGAGAGCAGAGGACGACCTCGGGTGTCATTCCTCAGGTGGCATGGACCTCTTTTTGTAGAGATGGAGTCTCTCACTAGACTTAACCTTATCAACTTTCCTGGGGAGTGATCTCAAGGGAGTTGCCTGTCTCTGCCTCCCTGGTGCTAGGATTACAGCTCCTGCCCCTGTGTCTTGAGCTGTTTCTTTTTTACACGAGTTTAAGGGATCAAACTCAAGCCCTGTGCTTGTATGCACTTTGACACCTGAGTCATCTCCCCAACTCCCCTCACCCTAGCTGACTATTTTTGAGCTATGACTTTTCTAATAAATTATAAGTTAACATTTCCCTGAGGTTCATTAGCTATGCTAACAGTTCTGTAGCCTGAGGGGTCATGGCAACCTCTGATCTGTGCTGAGTTGAGCAGAAGCACAGGCCACACCCCAGAATTTGTAAACAGCCTCCGAAGTAGGGAGGCACTGAATGCTTTATCTGAATTTAATTAAATGGTGTCTGGTGTCTGAAGAGTTGGTTGGTGTGGAAAAGCCCCAAACACCATGCATCTGGTGTCAGAGACCAGTGCATGTAAGGGCAGGACAAATCAGGAACATCTCTCTTACAGAACATTTCCTCTTTGATGCCACCACGAACCACACCTTTCACAGTTCCATACTGGTCACCTCCTTCAGAGGCTTCTCAAAGTCACAATTGTGTCTGAGTAGTCATATTCTCAATCTGGCTGCTGACACTGGGCTCAGGTCCACCATCATGGGTATCAGGCTGACCGTCTGCTGCCATGGTTGCTCTGCCAGTATCCTCCATCCTACTAGAGGCTGGTCAGCTTGGATCTCAAGTGCATTCTCCTTTCACGACTCATGTTCTAGAGGTTTTCCCCTCAGAATGGCACTAGTGGGTGTTGATTTTACCTTTAATAGGTAGAGCTGAGCTGAAGGAATTTAGATCACTGGAGGTGTATCCTTGAAGGACACAGGCATATCCACTCCTTCCTTGCTTCCAGGTCACCATGAAGTAAACAGCCTTGCTTCCCCCAATCCCTTCCTATGGGGGTGTCATGCCCCATAACAAATGAGGTCAAACCATCTGGGCTGAAGTTCCTAACATCATGAACTGAAATTAATTGACTTCTCAGGTATCTGTTTTGTTTTTGAGAGAGTTTTACTACGTATAATTGGCTGCTCTCAAACTCACAATCCTTCTGCCTCAGAATTTGAGTGCCCAGCTTCTCCTGAGTAATTTGTCCCAGTGCAGGAAAGCTAACACCAGGCTCATAGCCACTCCCCTCACTGCTTTCTGTTTTTCCCCAAGTCACATTCTGCTAAGGATCACCTTTACTTGACGGTCTCTGTGGCAATAAGAACCTCTCTTCAGGTATAGTTACCTTGTTCAACACTGAGCTGTGAGTTTGGGTCCCTTCTATCAAATTCTTCGGACCATGATTCGTTCTGTGGTAAGACTGAAATGGGAGGAAGAGGGAAGAAGAAGAGGAAGCGATTAGAGATCTTTAGCAGGGACAAGGGGCAACATTTCTGCATTACACATTTAGGAATTTCCAGTCTTGCCATCATTCCATATTCAATGTGTCCAACATGAGAAAGTTCAAACCAGCATTTCCTGGGACAGAGAAGACTCCCACAGGGGAGACTTTATGCTTCCCACACAGAAAGGAGGCACTCAAGGTCAAGACTAAAACAGTAGAAGACACATTTGTGCTGTGTTCCTATTCCAGTGTTCACAGGGCAGGGGAGGTAGACGTCAAAACAAAACAAAAAAAATAGAATCTAAACATAACTTCCAGGCTGTCACAATTGTAAGAAGAAAGAGGGGCTTTCCTGGATGGAAGGTCGAGGATCTGGCACATACCAAAGGGAAGCTGGATGATGGGCAGGCTTTAAAGATGGTCACAATGGGGTTGAAGAACTGGCTCACACATTGTTGATTTCTATGAGCATGTGGTGCTAAGCTAAGATGGATCCTGCAACCCACAGCTGAGCTGTCACTCAAGGTGGGTGGTAGTGAACCTGATGGACTCTTGTGTATAATATTATAAGGGCTCCACTGAAGAGACACCGCAGTGCTACCCTCCTGGGACTGAGTTCTTTCTGCTGCCTTCTACATAGCCTGATGCTCATGGGGCTCTCATTGTCTTAACCTAACTACCCAGTCTAGCAGACCTCGGGAGCGTGTCAACTGTAGTCATTAGATGTATGTTTTGTGATGATACATTAACATGTTAGTTTTTAAACTGCTCTAGCTCAGATTGTGCTACACTGTATATGACACATGGTAGATGTTTAATACATGGTTATTGAGGGGAAATAAGGACTGTGATCTCCAAGGGTGATACTAAGTCCAATTACCATTTTTAAATCTTTTAAAAATGTGTTCCAAATCAGGGTATGCCTCCATATTTTGCTTACAGAACAAAAGCCTCAGAGCCTTCAGGTCATGTTTCTTTTCCAGTTCTTCCAAGACTCTGTAGACCACTTTTCGTACAGGGATCAGGTTTCCAAAGGATTCTTGAAAATCCTTAAAAGATATTTAATGGAGAAAATTTAAATGCAGACTTTCAGGTCACAGAAGAACCCTAAGAAACAGTTATAGTTAGTGTACCTCAATCTGCAACAGACATATTTTCTAGTGAAAAGTTTTATATTTGCATGACTACTTCATGAAACAAGTACATATTTTCTTTTTGAAAATACTAGCTAGTGACTTTGAGCTCCAACCATCATTTCTATGACATATAAGAAGGGCCACTCTCTGTAACAAAGGAACACTAGGGCTAAGGGTTAACAATGGGACTGGTGAGATGGCTCAATGGATTATAAGTACTTGTCACCAATCCTGATGGTCTGAGTTCAGTCAGTGGGATTCAGATGGTGAATGAGGAGAGCCAACTAGCCACAGACTGTCCTGACTTCTACACGTACAGAGAAGCAGGCTCATACACACATGTACACACAATATAAACATACACATACTTACAGGTAAATAAGTAATAAATGCATTTAGAATGGAGAGACTAAAGATATGGTTCATTTAGAGAGTACTTGCTGCTCTTGCAGAGAACCCTAGTTCGGTTCCCAGTGTCCACACAATACCTCACAAACATCTGTAACTCAAAACCAAGGGATTTGGTGCTCTTTTGTGGCACACAAATGGTGTGCACACATATATACAAGCAAAATACTTGTACACAAATAAAAATAAGAGATTCATTCTTAAAAAACAACAAAAATTGGCTAGCTATCATGGCAGGTGACCAATGCTATTTTGTTAGTCTGACACCACCTTTCTTCCTGTAGGAAACTAGGTGTCCATTCCCTCTGACCGTGAACTCTCCTGGAGGGCCAAATATTCATAAAGCAAAAAAAAAATTAAAGGAGCTGGAGAGATGATTCAGTGGTTGAGTGTATTTGCTGCTCCTGCAGAGGTCCTGGGTTCTATTCCCAGCACGCTCATGTTGTTCACAAACACATGTAACTCCAATGTCTGGGGATCTGGAGCCCTGTTATGCCATCCAAAGGCACCAGGAATACTGGTGGTGCATAGGCACACATATAGAGAAAACAGTTGTATACATAAAATAAAAATGAATAGGTTCAAAAAATTGCTCCAAAAGAGACTCTGTAGGTATTATGTTCTTCGAGGTAGGGTTTTAAAATAGATGTCTACTAATATAACATGTGCTCACTGAAATACCCCTTAAGGCAGTTCATTAAAATAATTCAATAGTAAATCAGAATCACTTGGAGTTTTCGTTTATTTTGTTAGTTCTGTTTAGTTTTAACTGCGTAATTTACATGGTGTGAAATGCATAAGACATTGCACATCAATGGAGAACACCTGTTCTGCTCTGGCTTGTCTTCAACAATACTCACCCTGATTCCAGAAAGGAACACGGAACACCTTCCCCTCAGATAGAAGCAGGACCATCTCCTGAGGCCTCTGCTTCTCCTCCCCTTGATAAATGGAGAGAACACTTGCAGAAATTTTACATGATACATGTTAGTTCCCGGAAAGACAGATTTTAAACCTGAGTTAAGAATTCTGATGCACAACTCATGAATTTATTATTGTAACTAATATCTGTACAAAGTGCTACGAAAACTTTGTCAATAATTCTTTGTCAAAAATTGGGTACAGGGTTGAAGAGCTGGCTTGTGGTTTAAGAGCATGTGCTGTTCTTGCAGAGGACCCAGGGTGATTCCCAGCACCCATATCAGGTGTCTCACAACTGCCTGTATCTCCTGTTACAGTTCCAGAAATTTGGAACTCTTTTCCGGACTCTGTGGGCACCAGTACCTATGTGAATACACACACACACACACACACACACACACACACACACACACACACAAGCAGAGAGGTAAAAACTTTGTTTAAAAATTAACTCCATCTTTTTTTTATTTTTTATTAAAGTCCAATCTTAAATTAAACTGCCAGTCATCTAGTTTGGTTCAAGATATCAAAGTGTAACTTAATTTGGAGTTTTTTTTTTCTGGGTCAGGATGTAAGAAACTTCACTTACTTCATACTGTTTATTGCTGATGACATTGTAGTCACGAAGGACCTCTAGAAAAGGAAATAAATCTTTTATTGCACTTGAAATGTCCAATTTAAGCATTCTGAAGAGCAGGAATATAGATTCTGTGTCCTTGTGTCCTGTGAACATCCTGGAGGGAAATATCATGGGGAAATGGTTATCAGGACTTTTGGACTACGTGCTTGTGGAAATGAAAGAAAGACTATAAAGAACTAACAGACATTAGATAGGTGGTCTTGAGTTAACCCCAATAAATAAAATGAGTTAACTGCAATAAATTTCCACATTCTGGGTTCAAGTGAGAGAGAACCTGCCTAGTTATGTAAGATGGAGAGAGATGGACAAAGACTCCCAGCATCAACGTCTGACTTCTACACATATGTGCACATTCATACATGTGCATCTGCACACATAAGCCCTCACACATGTGAATGTTTTTACATACATGCGTGTATACTGCACATTCACACACATAGAAAAATAAAGTGAAACATAATGTAAATTATGATTCAAAAATTCCACCACTATGTTCTCTCATACATGTGAAAAGGAATATTCTCACCAGTTTATATGCAAATATTTCTAGTAGCATTATTGAAGGCAAAAGTCAGGAAGAATTAAAATGTGCGTTCATTGGAGGGTGGAAAAATAAACCTGAACAAGCCAAGAGGAGCAAAATGCTAATAAATTCTGTGCGTGAATGGATCTCAAAAATATTTTTTCTTAATAAAGGAAGCCAAACACAGAAGGCCATTTAAGGGATAATTCCATATCTATAAAATGCCCAGAAATTCTCTATAGGGACAGATGCATGTGTGGTTGCGTGGATTAAGGGGACCAAGAATGGACTGTCCCCAGCTGTGAGGGGTCTTCAGGGGATGGGGAAGGCCTAAGGTCCAAACTTGAATTGTGCTGTTTGCTGCATGGCTCTGTGGAAGTCATTGGAACGTACATTAAAATAGTAAATCATATTGCAAGTAAATTATACTCAATAAACTGTCAAAAATGTGAAAGTGGATATCCAAAAAGATGAGAAGATCGTTAAAGGTGACAGGTTGCATTTTCTCCCCTCTGGAGCATGGGAAAAGGCAGATATTGTGAAGAACAAACACACATTGTATTCTAGCTGGTTTGGGTTTTAAAATTTTGTTTATTTATTTATTTATTTATTTATTTATTTATTTTTTGTCAACTTGGCACAAGCTAGTTATCTGAAAAAAAGGAATCTCAGTTGAAAAAGAATGCCTCCTTCTGAACTGCCTGTAGGCAAGTGTGTGGGGCATGTTCTTGAATGGTGATTGACGTGGGAGGGCCCAGTTCACTGTGGGCATTGTCACCCCTGGACAGCTGGTCCTCTGGTATATAAGCAAGCAAACTGATCCAACTAGTCAGCAGTGTTACTTCATAGTTTCTGCTCAGATTCCTGCCTCCAGGTTCCTGCCTTGACTTCCTTTATTGATGGACTGTGATGTGAATGTGTAGCCAAAAGAACCATTTCCTCCCCAAGTTGTTTTTGGTCATGGTGATTTATCACTTCAATAGAAACCCTAACTAACACTATATGATTGGATGTTCCCACAGTCTGAACAGGAATGTCACGAGGTGACAGACAACACTTAGGTTAAAAAGATATCTTGCTGATGTCAGGATGTCCAAGAATTTAACTCTTAGCACAGAACAATCAAGCAGTAACTATCATCCCCCTCCTCCCAGGAACTGGAGGAGGAGGCTAAACCTTACCCATGGGCTGCAAAACTCACATCAGAAGGACAAGAGAAGCAGTCTCACTTTGACTGCGCTGCCCCTTGCTCAGGCTGGAACAGGCCTTACCAAGGTAGTGGCCCTGGATCTAAAGTTTCTTTATAGTGGGGAAACAGAACCAAATTAGAACATAAGAGCTCCCCAGAACTCTCAGGTGCCCATGGAAGGGCTCCATCTGTTCTGCTCAATGAAGAACACTGATGACTCAGCAGCAGACCATGGAGAAACAAAGAAGGGGGCAGGGATGGCATGCTGGGGATGGAGCTGTGCCTCCATATCAGTGACATCCTATGGGAGAACTCAGTCTGCTGCTGTGATGTGCAAAGCCAGGCTGTGCCTCCATCTATTCTGGGACCACACTGACCAGCTCTTTCAAGCCAGTGTTACAGTCTGGATAGAGACAGCTCACTCCCCAGAACAATATGCTGGCTCTGCCTCACAGCAAAGCATAACCTTGGCTCTACCCATCCAAACAGTCCAATAGCAAGGCACACCATCTGGTCAGAGCCTAATCTATGGCCTCACCTAGGCCAACCGTCAAACTGGCCATCTGCCTAACTCCAGAGCATAGCTTCTAACTGGGACAGACCAAGAATCATAAACAGTGATAGGTCCAGGCTCAGAAGAAGCCAGCCTGTGTCACAGACACAGTGTTTAACCAAACTGATACTTTCCTAACTTCAGAGGAAAGTTCTGGTGCTTGTGAGGAAGGAGCCTCTTAGCCTTGTTTATAAAACCCATGAACAGGAAACCAATGCAGAAATCCTTCCACAAATGTCAGGCATTTCCTCTCATCTTAACAGGATGTTGCAAAGCAAGAATGCTTCAACATTTGCAAAAGGGTAAATGGGATGCATCGCATTAATACAAGGCAAACATAAACCATGTACCGCCAGCAGATGCCAAAAGGTATTGGGCAAACTCAGCATGCATTCATGATAGAAATAAATCTTTCAAAATTCAGCCTAGAAGAACTGTACTTCAGTATAATAAGTATCATATATGGGGAAGCCATAATGTTATTTTCAAAAGCAAAAAAGCTTAGAGCATTTACCCTTGTGGTCAGGGACAAGGAAAGGGACAAGGAAAGGATGTTCACTCTCAGCAGTCTCTCTTTATACTGTACTGAAAGGAAGAAGAGAAGGAAGAAAGGGAAGGAGGAACATAGAATAAGTAAAACTGAAAGTAACATTACTTTATATGTACAAAGTCCCAAAGATTATACACACATACTAGTACTAATTAATAGATTCGGTAAAGTTATAGGGTACAAAAATCATCATTCATAATGATACACCTGGAAAAGAAATTAAAAGAATTTTTCTTTAAAAAGAATAGTATGGGTGCGAGAGAGAGAGAGAGAGAGAGAGAGAGAGAGAGAGAGAGAGAGAGAATGTCCTTTTGTATACTGTCAATATTTGTTGCTCAGATTAGTTTAATAAAAAGTTGATTGGCTGGTAGCCAGGCAGGAATTATAGTTGGAATCACCAAACTCGGAAAATAAGGGGAAGAATAAGGGTAGAGTCCAAGGACATGCCAGTCAGCTGCCAAGGAAGCAGGATGTGTAGACAATGAGTAGCAAGTCATGAGTCAGGTAGCAAACAATAGATAAGAAACATGGGGTAATTTAAACCCAAGAGTTAGGTAGTAAGAAGCCCGAGGTACTGGCTAAACATTTGTAATTAACATTAAGCCTCTGGGTGATTGAGAGCGGCTCAGGAACAGGAAAACTAAGCCAATGAATGGCACCTACTGCGGGGCATAGATCCACATTAGACCCAAAAAAAGCGTAAAAAAGGGTTCTAAATAGAGCCAGTCTCACAGTCTCCTGCCAGTCACTTCTCCCAACAGCTGCCTGTGAGATGGACCCAGCTGCCAACTGCTATGAGCGAAGTCATAAGACAGGTTCTGCAGTGCCGCGCACCGCGCCCCTGTGTCTGCGCTCTGTGCCCTAGAACCCACTTCTCGAGCTTCGGGCAAGGGGCTGGAGGTTGAGAATACACACGCAGAGACCAACCGACATACGCAGAGACAGACCGACACACGGACCTGCCAATGCTGGTTCAGAAAGCCCCCTTTATTAACACCATGTAGGCTTAAATACACTGCAGTCAATGGCCAACAGGTGATAATCCCATCCTCTGATCCTCTAAACTAGGCACAGTTTCTAGTAACTTTAATTAGAAGGTTCTAGGAGGGAAGAGCAGCTGAAGGCCAGGACTCATTATTCCCAACACTGCAGTCTCATATACAGTCCACAGTATAGAGACTCTCCCAGCCATTGCCTGCAGAGACAGATTCAGACAGAAAATAAAAACCTCTGAATGGGTTACAGTATGTTAAAAAATATATGTAGGATTGGGAGAGAAAAGAAAAGGGTAGAAAAGGTTTTTTAAAAAGGAATAGAGTAATAAAAATATAATTAGCCGTGTAAATACATGGGAAATACACAGTCTGGATCCTGTATGTTGATATGGTGTCTTTGAATTTTTTGGCTGTTAAGAGACATTAGATTATAATAACTGCTAGATTCAACCAACCTATATACTTTATAAATATCTTGACTTCAAAATTCAAGTCAAAAGACTTGTTACTTTGGGGGAGAAGTTATGCTTTTATTTCCACAGAAAATGAGAGGCTGTAGATTCATTCTGGGATAAAAATAATCAGATTTGATCAAGGACGACTCACTGAAGATCCTGGCTACAAACAAACAAAAAATAAACCTAAATGAACTACAAGATATGTGATATATATTTTACCTGCTAAAACACATAGCAAAAATGTCTTTAACTGACTTGTGTACAGTGTACAATCTATACTTATATCAATACAGATATGTATGTTACCTTTAAAAGTTTAAATATTTTCAGAGCAAGGAAACTAAATATCAATAAAAATGATGGTTCAGCATCTGGAACAGCTTCAAGGCTGCTGACTGTGACAATCCAGCCTCACAGAATACTATAGTCAAGACTTAACAATTATTCTAAATTTTCTCAGTTCCCCCAAAGTTTACCAATGCCCCAAAGCAACAGGAAGTAATCTAGATATGCTCATGGTCCAAATAAATGGGTTATTTGGTTATGAATATTTATTATTATTTAAGGGGGGTTGGTTACAAGTTGCTATTGGCAATGGTCAGAAAAAAGTTGGATAAAAGAGATTAGATTCATGGATCTCTTTCTGAAAAGAGAAAGGGGTATATAGAAAGCATAGGATAGAAGTATAGATTATTGAATCTACTTTCACAACAACTACTAGTCTTAACTATTTTACATTTATATGGATTTTTGTATTTTGATACAAATTTAAAGTTCATTTTGTTGCACAGTATGTATGTTTCTACTCTTGTTTGGGGTATTGTGC